TAATTCTACTTCAACTGTGCCATTCGCCATACATCTATGGACAGCAAGTATCTTCTTACTAAACTTCCCATGAATCACATTTCTTCACATCCTTTATTTCACTGATATTTCCTAAGGGCTTTAACACAGTATCAGGAAAGTCATTAGCAGGAGTTAGAGATTAATAACAGAATTTCTGACTACAGACATACATGGTAAGATGAAAATGAAAGGATGGAAGAAAATTGGATCCCAAATCACTAGTTCCAGAACTAAATTCTGTAGAAGTTTAATTACCACTTAACATTTTAAAATTCCAGGGTGCCAATTTAATTCAATTCAGAGATTCGTCATCATCCTGTCAAATACTAGGCAATATGACCTGTTAGGGTTTCATGCCATCACTTGAGCAATCTTCCTAAAATTCTCTTCTCCCTCTGATTTGTATGCTATAACCTGTTAGTATTCAGTTATTTTCCATATTCTCCTATATTGTTTTCAATTAGTTCGGTAATTTTGTAAAACCCAAAAGTTTTCATTTTGCTAAAACTCAACCAACTAACGCTGAACATGACTGCTTCTCAACAGGTACAATTCATGTGGGTCATAAACGAAAATTACAATAGTGTGGGGGTGGGATACTACTGAAGGTGAGAAATACAGCTTAACTTTATTCATTCTGGTCTATCTCACTAGTAAACTAAATTTTAAAAAAAAACTGCTAACACTGTCCAGTGTGGTTCAATTTGTAGATATTGTAACAGATCTGATCAAAGTGTTGCCAGGCAACAACTCTGTAAACACTGTCCAACACACAATATATGAGGCTGTGTTTTCTATGTTATCCATGCCATGTCCAGTGCTGCTAATGGACCAATCAACTCGCAGTCTGACACGTGACATATTTTATGTGCGGTCTGCACCATGCAACAACGGAGGGGCTGTGTTTTCTGTGTGTGGTCTATGCCGAGAGGATATGAGAGAATACAGGATTGTGAGCTGACTTCACTTGGGCTATGAAGTTCCAAGGGAACAGCAGTGTGGCATGAAGAAGAATGAGAAGACTCAGTGTGTGACGTTACATGTGCTGTAACACACTGATACTGGGAGTGTGTAATTTAGTGAGACTTTTACAGTTCCTGTTTTATAAATCCATTGCCAGGAAAGACGGTGAAGACTAGTGGGAATCGCCTGAGAAGATTAGTCTAGAGTGATGGTAAATTGTGTAAATCAGCACTAGTGTAATAATTATTTATAGTTACAACTTGTAGGTGGTTAATAAATCCAATTACCAATTCAAATCCTGCCTTCAGTCACTGATACACATGACAATATTTATTGCATTTACATGTTTCGGTCAACTGACCAACTTCAGAAGGCATAAGATTAACATGTTCGGGAACTACTATTACATTAAAAGTTTGCGAACTATTATTACAAAGTTCATAATACATACTTAAACAAGTTTTTATATAAGTTATTTATAATTATGTGGATTAAAATCTTACTGATGTCTAATATTTAAGATCTTGAACCGATATGGTCTGTCCTAGTGCCTCTTCTGTTAAAACAGAAAGTTGGGGTATTACTTGGAGTCTTCAGAGGTCCTCACAGTGATGCCCCCCTTTTTAGCTTGTTATGGTTCTGTATTGTTGTGATGTCTAGTTGTTTCCATTTTGCTGTGTTCTGAGGCCACAAACTGAATCACACTGGATGATGCTAACAATTACTCTATAATTTAGTGAGAAATACAACTGTTACATCTCAAAGAATGAAACAAAAATGTCAAGTTCAGTGAGATTGTTTCCAGCCTTCATTTTCACACAAAAGTTCCCACAAAACGTTACTGTGACAAATCACTCCTACACCTCTAAGAACAAGATATTATTGTTACTTCCTAAATGTATAACGTGTGGTCTGGGGAAAACATCCATGTATATGCAAACATACCGGTCAGACTCACATAGTCCCACTCGGGGTGGGAAAATGCTCCACTCCTATGAACTGGTCAGTCACTTCAGTGGTAGCTTGACCCAGCGACTATGAAGAGCTAAGGATCCTGCTGCAATAGAACAGATTACACAATTTAAGAAATGACAGAAAACATATTATAAAGTATGACAAAAGTTAAAGGTTGTCAGATGTCATTATTATTCAGATAGCACAATATAATGTTTAAATCAGTCATTTGTATCTACTGTCCTTAGGATGAATATGTTGGCATGTGAGAGAATATCCATGTGCTGGGATCCATGCCATACAGATAGCCACTCAATACTTACTGCTGGCCCATAAGTTAGGAAGAAAGAAGTGTTTTCCGACATTCAAACTGAACTCAAGAAATAATCTTCGTCAGGGAATGGTCTCTAGGATTACCTAAAGAAGTCAATATTTACCACAATCAGACTGCAGTCTCCTCTGAAACACTGGTAACCACCCATTAGCCTACATGGTGCCATAACCCATAAGACCACAATTTAATTTTCGATCACTCTAAAAATCTCAAATTTTCATGGTAAATCATAACCAATTAAAAAAAGGGAGAAAAGAAATACATTATCAAATCACCTCCTTGTAGTAGCCATATATAAAGCACGTTTTAGAAAACTTCCTTGTCATAACTTAAAGCTCACTTTAGGCAATTTTATACAAGTCTCCATAAAATAATTTTTGGCATGGTAAACTTCATCCAGGACTAAAATTACTGGTGATAATATGGATTTGAATGTAACAGTTCGATTACTGAACAATTTCTTTCCCAAATTGCACAAGACTGAATTGCTCATATTTTTTAGGATTTCAACAGGACCCATGTGTCTGCCATTGGAGCACAGCCCATCCCTGTAACTTTCCACTCCCTGTGATCAACATCAATATGATGGCTTTGATTAATCTGTGAGGTAAGGAAAATCAGAGTGTCATTCAAAGGAGGGTTTTAAATCCTGTAAGAAGTTTTATTGAATGGCTTCGGGTAAAACAAAGAGTATTCAGTCTTTTGAAACTAACTCCTTTATTGTGTTTATTTCAGCAAACTATGATGAGAAAATGAGATAAAAATATTATTGTCTCTGAAGATATTACAATGCCATATAACTGATCACGTGTAAGCAGAAATAATTCTTCCACAGTCCAATAATTTGTTTTGAATATTACTTTAAGGTAAGGTAACATTATATAACATTACTATTAAGCACTGAGTGATATTCACAGTAACCGCTTTTGTCTTTATAAACTTTGGATACTGATTTCTTCTCATCCTTAAGTTTTTCACAGCCTCTGTCTAATGTGCAAATTCAGCTTTTGAGGGCTTAGCTGTGTCATGCATTAAAGTTGTTCCATTTTTTTTGGCACATATTGAACTTAACGACCTTTAGGGTGAGAGAGGTAGGAGGATATGGCCTAACATACAGATCTGTGCAAGTAGGGGTGAAGTGCAAAACATGGTGCTATCCAATGGAAAGGGCCATGGCCTGGCCTGATAGGTACAATTCACTGGGGGAGTGGACATGTAGAGCATGCTGCTATTCAACAGGACTGAACCATGTGGTTAAAAAGAAAGTTCAAGGAAAAGATATGAAACCAGACTTCACTCAGTTTCTATCCATTATTATGACAGAAGCTGCGAAAGTGTTTGGCTATTTCAATGGCTTCACAATGATGCAATGACAGCAAGCATGGATGTTTATAGGGCTTCTATTTCGTTTAATTCAATACCATGTTTGTTCTCAGTGGAATATTTGGCCATTGTGGATCACTGGTTCTCTAGCTTAGTGTGTCTGATGTGTTCCATTATTCCTGTGGATATGCGACAGCCACTTTTAGTGATGTACACTCCACCAGACTCTTGTGTTGGGGCTGTCTGTCAGTAATCACTCATTCTGATCAACTGTTTGTGAATGACACGGTTCCAGTTTTCTTAACTGGGTTGGCAGTGTGGTCTACCGCTCCCTGAACATATGGGATACAAGCATTGTACCTTGCCCTAACCACTTTTCCCTCATAGTTAGTAGTGCTCTTCAATGTCAGTGGATGCTCTGGCGAAGTTCAAGTGGGAGTAAGCCACTTGTTTGGAGAATGGCGCTGATGTCCTATAGTTCAAAAGTCGAACACGTTGACAAGCTGAAGTCCCCCCCACCCTCAAAATATATTCATTATACATTTTGCAAAAGGGGTCACTGATGCCAGCTGGACGAAACAGAAATAATGGCATAGATGTGTGGATGGCACATTTGTAATCTAGTCATACAAACATACTGTCCTAAACAAACTCCATGGCTTTTAGTACGTGAGCTATACCGATCGAGCGACTACCATTTGTCCCCAAAGTTAGTGTCAACTTTTGCAGACAGAGGGTGTCACGTGGTCAGTGCAACAGATTCCCATTGCCGTTAATCTCGGTTTTCTAGACCGAGACTTAATGTCCTATGAGCCTTATTCAACCATTTGAACTCCATACACCACAACTCTCTCCATGGAACTGGAGACAGACAACCAACTACCCTTCTGGGCAGATACTTTGGAAACTCCATCCGGAGAAAAACCAACCAAACAGATACCAACATGTATCACACCATTCACCAGCATGTAAGAAATCCATATCACCACACTAGTAAGCAAGGTACGAACACTCAGAATTACTGGGTTTTTTTGGGAATCTCCGAGGTAAGAAGAGTCTGCAACTGAGTTTAGGTGGGCCTCTGAACTGCAATACATGAACTTCCCATGAAAACAGTTACTCTCACAGACATCACCATTACATATGGGGCCATTAAGAAAAAACATCAACAGGCCAAAAAGGATGACACCACAAGGATTGCATCCTTTACGTTCAGGAAAAACAGATCACGGCAGCAGGCTACCAAAGAAAAAAGGATTCACATCATTCACAAATCAATGGATAAAATTATGCCCCTCTCAGGCTAATCAAGACCAAATGACCTCCACATAAAAAGACTAACACACAATCCTCTCCAACTACGGCAAGTGCATGTCTATCAAACTGGCCTTCACATCTCCATGAGAATACTGGAACATATATCAGAGACACACATCTAGAGACCACATCTCCAGTAGCCAAACAATTCAATGGGACCAAACATGGTACTGGATTAGACAAAATTCAAGCCCTAGAAAAAATATCCACACTTAACATCCCCATTTCATCAGGAACAAAATTCTGGATTATAACATCACAAAATATGCATTTCTTCATTTGATCAGTATTGGTAACAAAAATTTACACCTTTACAGCATAATCAGTAGAGCCAGAAAATGAGTAACTGTTTACACAGAAGGTACTAGTTTATAAGATTTATATCTATACGTCTGTCCACTTCTAAGAAGCCTGAGAAGAGCAAATTGATTTCTATGACATTTCATACTGGGAAGTTTTACCACAATTTGCTAACATATACCAATTTTGTTTAATATCAGATAAAAATAGCATACACTATGAGAAAACCTCAAGCATTTCTGCATGTACCTCAACCACAACTCACTGAATATTAATCAGAGTGAAAAATGATTTGGAAACATCTGTAGGCAATAATGACACCTTTCATGCCCAATACGCTTTCCCACAAAGTCTTAATTTCTTTGATAACTGAGACCTGTGACACTATACATACCTTTATGCTTGTATACACAACAATAAAAAATGGTGTTTCGAACACAATCAAAGATTACCAATTCTCTTATTCTTAATAATTAAACAAAGTTTCTTTCCACCTACACCTGTGGGTCTATATTTAAGTAAATATATATTTAATTAAAATACAATTTTATGTAAGACCATAGGTACTTCTTGAGTTCATAGGAATAGAACAAATGTTGCTGTTTATAATTACGCCGAATGCAAATGGGTCATTCCGTATCAATTAAAACAAAACTGATTTGAGTTTCAGCCACACATTCATCAATTTTCATGACTTTTACATTAGTAATTGATAGCCATAAAGCAAAGGCTTTCCCGGCATTTCAATTATCGTTAATAAATTCCTTGATATTAACTGACGAAGCTAGGCAGCTTTTGTCATGCAGTAGGTCATTTTCTTCATAAGCATGTAAACATCTCCTTTATTTCAAGGCATCTATATACAAACTGGTGTCCAGCAGCAGTTTTTTTACGAGATATCTACTGATGCAAAGTTTATACACAACTCTGTAATAGTTTTCACAAAACTTTCTTTTAAATATTAACACAGCACCATGGGTTAGTTAGTTAGTTATTTAGAGAGGGTGGGCTTCCCCATGCACCACGACCAGTTTGATCTATTGTGCTTCCCTCTATGATATTCTACCAGTCTCTTTACCCTACCGATAAATGGTGCGTACCATCAGTCCCGCCAAGCAAGCGAGTTCGACCACTTCCTTAGCGGTGTCTATAATGCTTCCCCCATCTATCAGAGGCCTTAGAGGCTATTGTTGGGCAGGAAACGTCCTGGAATTTGGCTCAGTGATCCCCTTTGGGGATATGAAGTTCTTTTATGTGCCGTAAAGTTACGACGCGGGACACACAGCTTAAAGTCCCTCCCGGAGGACTTGTTCCCTGAATTTTTCCGCCCTTAAAAATTCAACGACCTCCGCCGGGTATTTGAACCCGCGTACCACGAGTCATGAGGTGGGAACGTTACCTCTAGACTACGGAGGCCGCTTAGCACCATGGGACTGCATTTAGACAGCTGACACTTTCACCCAGTATAAATAAATGTTTATTCTGCTGGAGGGGGGGGGGGATGGACTTTCACTCCATTTCCAAAAAGTTTAAATCTGATGTTACAAAACACTATCATGTTCACTCTTCTTCTGGAGTCTTGGCAGGTAGGTAAAGATCTGTCAACAAGTTCAAGCTTTATGTACCAGTAAGAATAGAGAACAAAATCAAAATAAATAAATTCTATCAGCAGTGGTCTTTCCTTTCTATTAGCTGGTTATTTAATGACACTGTCAGTATCAGTACTATTTACTGTCGATGACAGGATGTATGACTGTGGTTCTGCTGGTGGAATAAGAACTGGCAGGAGAAACCAAAGAATTGAAGAAAACCTGTCCCAGTGCCACTCTGCCCGCCCAAAAACTCAACATGACCTGACCTTGGATTAAACCCAGACAGCCAGAGAGGAACCTGGATCGTTAAGGTGCCTTTTTGAAAACGAAAGATTTCAGACTTACTTGTAATGAGATCTGTAGTGCCAGTTAAAAACATATAAAAAGATCTGGCTTTTGCAGTTATGATAACTTACAAAATGATACCAAGGAACTGCTGTTGATCATATGTCAACACTATCTGTTACAAAAAGTAAATAATTCTAATCCATTCAAAAACCACACAACTGTAAAAAAAGATTATGAGATATATCTGCTGAAAATGTAAAACTGTTCAATGAATTTGTAAACAAGGACCAGATCAGAAATTACACATACCATTTATAAATAAGGATATGGGAAGTATTAAAGTGAACAAAGTATCTGCAGAAAATATCCATAACAAAGAATCTTACGTAACAAATGCTTCAAATGAAGATTTTGGAGAAAAGCAAATGGTAGATTTCAATTTTTCTATCATTTTGCTGGGGTGCTCTCCAGTGAAACTACATGGTGTTCCACAAAGAAAGTTCTGGATAATGAAGTACACACTTATGAAGGATCTGGTGATCTTTCTATTTTAATGGATAAAATAAAGCATAAATATGCAATATCTTCTGAACAGCAGGTTTCAAAACTGAAACTAATGCCAAAAAGTTGGCCAGTTCAAAGAACACGTATGAATTTTATGTTCATAAATATGCAGAAAATAAAGCTCCTGTGTTTAAAGGAGAAACCAGCGGAGACAGAAACATTTGTTCCTTGTAGCCACCACAGCGTGTAATTAGAATGCACGGTGTGTGTGTGTGTGTGTGTGTGTGGGTGTGTGTGTGTGTGTGTGGGTGGGTGTGTGTGTGTGTACGTACGTTCATGCATGTGTATGAAATGCATTAGAATATTAAATTACTGGCTGCTACACTATCAGAACTCAATTACTCACTCATGGAGCTGGGTCCTTCTTGAGAAGTTGCCAACTGTGCAGCTACTCGTGAACTACCCAGCATTATCTTAAACCCAAAGGTTCATTACCATGTTCACAAGAGCCTTCCATTGGTCCCTTTCATGAGCCAGATCAATCCAAACAATACCATCCCAACCCATCTCTCTTAAGATCTGCACTATCAGAACAGAAAGACTAAAGATTTCATTGTGAAAATCTGCTATTCCCCAATGTGTCTCCAAATTGCACACTCCACAAATGTTCAAACTGCCTAGCACAGAGTGATGATGATTTCTGGCCAATGATTTTGATTTTAATATGGAGGACAGTATAGTTTTAAAAGCAATGGGTTCAAAAAGGTCATAAAATTCTGTATCCACAAAAAGTACCATTGCAAAACTCACTGAAAACCCCGCCAAGCAGTAAATCGGTCAACCAACCATCATTATACACCAAATCACAAGTTTCATATCTGAAGACATTGAAAGAAACCAGTTTACCAGACCAGCTGTCATTTTACTTAATATTTCAGACACCTATTCATTTCTGTGTTTAAGATGTTATGGAAGGGTTCCACTGGGAAACTGATAAAACCACTCTCCAAACCTGTATCATTTATCACACATCAGGACCAGACAGCATGAAAGAAGAGTATGTACATTTCTAGATCATCAGTGAGCACACTGACCATACAGTTAACAACCATCCCCTCTTCCATAAGTTGCATTATACAGCACTGGTGTCTGACAATTCACCATGCTTAAAGAAAGAGTATTATTTTTCAATGATGGTTTCATCTCTTAAAGATCAAAGTACAACTTTACCTACTGTTTCATGTAACCTGCACACTATTAACCTCCTACTGATGTTAGGTCTTCCATGAGGCCTATTTCCATCAAGTTTTCTAAACATAATTTTGTACATGATGTTGATCTCCCCCATGTGTGCTATATTCTCTGCCAATCTCTCTTTTGAATCTAACCATCCTAAAACTGTTTGCTGAACAGTACAGATTATGAATTTCCCCATTATGCAATATTATCCAGCTTGTCACTTCTCCAACTTAGGCCCAAGTATTCTCCCTAGCAGCATGATCTCAAACAAGTACATTTTCAGGATGTAGCACCATATAGTCTGGGCATTACATCCCAGAAGATTGGACTCCTCATAATCACCAACCTCAAATTCAGTCCTTAAATATTCTCTTCCATTAGTGAGAGGGGACAAGTTCACACCCATATAAAACTACCAGTAAAATTATAGTTTTATATACTTTAATCTTTACATTTCTAGATAGGAGATACAAAGAAAAGACTCTGAACTGAAAGCATGAACAGTTATGCCTTCTGGGATACACAGCCATGTAGTCTACTGAAAGTCAAACAATATTTTGAAGGAACAAGTCCAACATTGATGAGTAAATCAAGCAAGAAACCAGCAAGAAGAAAACCATAAGCTACTTGGTGTTTACTCTTCAACTCTAAAAATGGAGGCAACATGTTCCTCTGAAATATCAGTCTACTTTCAACAGGCTACATGGCATTATATCCCACAAGACAGAACTCTTCCTAACCACTGCTGTAACAACCTCAAATCCCACCCACTATCTCAAAGCACTACTAAATAAACCAAGAATGAATGAATGAATGAATGAATGAATGAATGAATGAACAAACAATCACAAATGGTGTTAAACATGCCAGGGGAATATCAGGATGGAACCTGCACTCATGACAACTCATAATTTCACTCATATAAGATGTTAACCACATGGGATGGGAATTCAATTCTGTACAAAACTTAGTAACAAAATTTTGTTTTAAACGTGGAAAGTAAATGCAGCATAAACTAAAACCAAATTTAACCCACCTACTACAGTAGCTAGCAATTTTAATTCTATGTTGCCATTACTGAATGCACTGAAATACATGCATCCTGAACGAAAAACAAGGCACAATGGGGCAAAAATACAGAAAAACAGCAACAATTCCTGTCAATCAGATGAATTACAAATGAATTATGAAGATAATCATGTATGATTACTGTGTAATATGTGTTCTGTGTACTATTCTTTTGTACCATGACAAGAAACTAATCAAGTTGTTTACCCTTTAAATGCAATAAACAGTCACAAGATATACTTATTTTTAATCACACAGGAATGGCACTCATCAAATGACAACATACACAAAATATATAGTGAATAAACCAAAGAGTCTCCAACTTACAGGTACAATATGAAAGAAGCAAAAAAGCAGAATCGCATCAGTAGGAAATTTTATAAGCCAATTATAACCTTAAATCTGTGCCTGCATATATGTGTTTGTAAATGAGTAAGATATACCCAGCCATCTCTAAGAGATGACTGGGAGTAGAGGAATGGAAGATTAGCTCACATCACACAACCATGTCATTAATCACGACTGTAAATATTTCAGCATAATATACATTTGTAATACACAGAGCACATAATTCTCTACACCAAAGATACAATTTTTCCCTCAACATGAATAGATCAGAATATTTCTTTGGGCTAATCACTACCTCGAAATGTGAACTCATTCTTCTAAAAACTATCCAATGAAAAACTGTGACATGTATAACATAACACATATCTATAAATATTCAACAGTATTAATGATGTCAGTATGTGTCTCTAACCAATACTGAATATTAAAAAATAACTATTTACTTTGCACTTTAAAAACCTTTTTACAGTCATATGAATGATGACCTACCCATAAAATATTTCATTAGTATCAACAAGCGAATTCTACACCTCCAATGCCTGCAAAACACGTAACCAAGCAAAATCTAACTCATTTTTGACTAAAACTGCTTCATCGGTATTATTAGTCAACACCACTGACAACTGATACCACAGCAGTAACTGTAACTTTATAAATAATCACCACTAACTGATACAATACTATTAACTGAACTACATGCTTTGTAAGGGATCAATATTTACACTCAGACTGATATGATTCGATGCATGAAACAATCGTTAACTCTGCAAAGATCCTTTCAAAATACGTTACTCCGCTGAGTGTAGTTAACTGCTTTAAAGAAATACATTTGTGTGTTAACCCGCGTACTAGGGAAAAATCTGATGTCAAATTGACATTACGGTCGCAATTTAAAACTGCTTAATATCCTTAACTGGACGAATAATTATGATAACTGCCGTTTTATAATATAAACACAAACTTATAACAGTATTAAAGCTAATCTTCCAATTGGTTTCACGCTAACGCCAATCAATTCCTTAACCTCCCCATGTCGTTGATGAAACTATACCTACGACGGGAACTCGATGTCCATTTCCATGTTGAATATATCACTTTTGCACGTACTTCGTAAATTGTTCACAATTAAACGCCTTACAATGCAACACAACATACGCATGATAATATTAACACTTTTAATATATATTACTGCTTAATGTTTGCGAACAAGCGTTCAAGGGGAATCCGACCTCCATTTTGTGACATGGGGGAGTGGAAAATCCGCTTCTGCAGCATGCTCCGAAACTTCCGTCAAAAATATATTACACACATTACTTTCACAACCAATATTACATCTAAACGCAGCTAGAAATAACACACAACTCCATACGAATTGTAAAAATCTTTTAAAGCATCGACAAAATCTAAATTCATGTCTAATTTATTCATCCTAGATTCGAAAACCGATCCCATGAAGATAGAAAATCTTTCCTTACCCCAATTTCACACTACCATATACGGTGTTAAAAAACACGATACCTACCTTACGTCAGTCAAAATAAAAGTAAAATACATCCATTGCGTTGAATTCTTTCACAACTTATCACATCTTACCTACAAACGAAGAAAAAGCGGGCATAATTTGGACGAAGTCATAAACGCCAAGGAACAATAACAAGAGCCGCCATTTGCAATGCTCGGAACTGACATGCGCAAATCAATCAGTGGAATTCTGGGTATCATTCCCGCCACACTACAGGTTGAAATAGGAAAATGAAGGGTTTCTATTGGTGAACACCACGTCTGCTACTCCATCATTGGTTTGCAGAGAAACAAAAAATAAATAAAATTATAATTATTTCCTGTCTCATTTCGGAACAAAATATCAAGTATTACTAAAGGCAAAGGTCTTGCTAGTAACGTTTCGTAGTTTTACCACTTGGCTCACTGCATTCAAACACATACGCCAGAACTTTTGGGAATACACACTATAATAACCCTTACCTCACAATATTTTTTCTAATTTATATGGGTCAGGACTATCATAATAACTTTATTCGCCTCAAGGAAAGCTTACAAGATATTACTTTGGTCAGGAATACTTGAAACGAAAAATTTAACAAACTGTACAGGCAGCATGAACTCTTAGGCCGTGTTGAAAGTCATGATGTCATTTGACCCTTACATGGCCTTTTTCACAAGTCAAAACATAAAAAAAGGGTTGAATGCGTTCACAAACTTTCATTACATAATCAATTTTCAAGTCTTTATTAATGGCATTTCACAAAATACACATGTTATGAACAAAAACTGTGGGTTGTACCACCCATTCTGACCATTTGTCTTGCATGTACTTGGTCTAAGACTCCCTACAATTTGAAATTATGTCACATATATCTGTAAAGCAAATATACAATCAATCACAACTTCAGGTAATACGATTTTTGGGTCTCCAGAGTTTAATACAATTTTAAGAAACATAACAAACACTACTGATTTATATGATAATTGCACACGATCTGTCTTATGCACAGTCTTAATAACTTTAAACAATTTCCAGTTTACCTTTCAAATGCACTAAAACACCTAAAAATTTCTATTCACAATTCATTGTGATTACAGAGGCTAACAACTTTTAAAAACACCAGCCTTCCTCATCCTTTCAAAATCCTTTTCTGCATCGTAATTCCTGAAAAATGTAAATTCATCACATTATAAACAAATACAATAATTACAGACATTTATGTTATGCTGATCACAAATCAGTTTTAAAATATATACTGAGCACTTAAGAAGTGCAGTATTTCAAATAATAAACAGATGATTTGCAGAATTGTATGATGTTTTACTTACTTGTAGAATTCTGCATATTTAGCTTTCCGGCTATCCACCCAGAATATCTTGAATAGAACAGTTGTAACAGCACTAAGAGTAAGTGCCATAGGAAGGTGAAACTTCACCGAGGATGTCAGTAATCCTCTCAACTGGGGCTTCGGTATCTTTTGCACAGACTTTTCTGCCATCTAGAATACATTATTTACAAGCCTTTCAGTATAAAATGGGTTAGGTACTTAAACATGTTATTTATCAATTTGCAACCCTGCAGTATCGGGATAAAAATAATTGCACATACACAAATTTCTTTTAACAAGATTCGGAAACTATATATGGAAGACTAGTCTTCATAAAACATAATCGTTTTGTTCCATACGATATTAAGTCTGAGCTGCCAAGGTCAATGGAATTGGCTTAGACATAATACAAAAAAAAACGACTGACGAAACTGCAATTTCCCAGTACTGCAGTATCACATTAAGATGGGCACCTTTACAGAAGCAAGTCACTTTCAATATTCCACCGCCCCAAATGGAAATGGAATTTGTATGCAATTTTTTTGCAACAAAATTCTTTGGTATACTACGTCTTTTAACATACATAATTTTGAACAGATTACACATTGAATTCTATGTAACACATTGTTGTTGCCTTTTCCTTACACAACTGAATACACAAACAGAAAAAATGTACCCACCTCGAATTCTTAGACTACTTCTGCAAAAGACTTACACGACAGAGTTCACTGCCAATTACTATTTCATACGCAAAATACTGTGTAAGCCAAAGAGTGTACGAGGAAAGTTACACCAAAACGATGCTTTACGGAGTGTAATCCATGGTTAGATATTTCATACCCATGACACAGTATTCTAATAATCCGTGTCTATATGGTACTCACTGACCTCCCTGACGTTATTCATTTCCTATTTCCTAGCGACCGCTATGACCGCTACGGAGAGTGTTTTGTGGAGGTAATTTGAACGCAAGCAAGGCAACTTCATGTTCCTAAAAAAATAGAATGAAAAAGTGAATAGGACGTTACTGTTTCGCGTATGTGAAGATTTTATAAATTGTAGACTATTTTAAACCAGTGAAGGCAGCATATAACATATAAATTGAATGTGTACAGTACAGGACCATTCAAAACTATCGTATTGTGATGTAATTTACTGTACCAAATTACAAATTATACATTTACAAACTTACAAATGACGGAGAAATGTGTCGAAAATACAGTTTTTAAATATTTATAAACATGTATCATTGGAGCGCAATGAGATGAATATTAATTGTGGCTTGTAGGCTAAATTCCCTGATTTAGAACCCCAGTAGGGGTCCAAGAACTTTGTATGCATTAGAATGGAATAGAGTTTATTTACATTCCACAGATTCTTCATCGTTTTTCATAGACCAAAACCATGAATGTAGAATGTGTCTTAATTTATAATTTATTTACATCCATAAAGTGGTACACAAATGCAATTGGACAAGTCATTGTAAGTCATCTAAAACACTACAGCTCAACAACTCTTAAAAATGTACAAATTACTATGAACAATAGAATCATTTTAGGATCATCATGCTCCCTCTGAAGCTGGCAACCGAGGATGACATCCCCCAACAATCCAGTATAAAGCAGCATATACACTTATACCATCTATATACATCCACACCACATCAGAACCAACCTGAGCCACCAAACTCCTGAAGAGAATTCTCATGTTAATTACACTTATTTTGCAATGAATAGTGTTGCATGTTTGTACATACAAATCCGGTTTTCCTTTAATGTTATACTTGTGAATGTCAGAATAATGAGTTGTGTAGATATTGTTCTTTTCTAAAAAGCATAAGATATATTCATTCATTCATCAGTAATCTGTCAGATGACAGGTCCACAGTCTCTTCGAAAACAGTTCCTCCACTTAATGTGATCTAGAACTTTCTCCTTCAAATAAAAATATCCTCTTCTGTCCCCAAGGTCATCCAGCATCTTCTTACATCTTCTGGTTTGCATATATGGTGTCTCTGTTTTTGGAAAGAGACTATCCAAGAAAAGTGATAATGTGATAGTTTTTCCATTTGCTTTCCACATCGCAATATAACAGCCGTTCAAACTCTGGTCATGCCTGTTGCTATACGAACTTGAATCATCTCAAGCATCATTTTCTCTATGAAGATCTCATATATATGTATATAAAGAAGTTACTGTTAAAATCTTAAATTCACCAAACAAACTTCTACAGGACACCCTGTTTTTCACTCCTTTAATGAGCCTTAGACATTTTTATGTAATTTAAAGACTATTGCTGTTATTTACTCCCCCCAAGAAAATAATACCAGATTACAGTATAGATTCAAATTTAGCAAAATAAAAAGCGGCCTCTGTAGTCTAGGGGTAACGTTCCCACCTCATGACTCAAGGTACGCGGGTTCAAAAACCTGGCAGAGGTCGTGGAATTTTTAAGGGCGGAAAAATTCAGGGAACAAGTCCTCCAGGAGGGACTTTAAGCTGTGGGTCCCGTGTCGTAGATTTACGGCACGTAAAAGAACCTCATGTCTCTAGGAGACCTCTGAGCAAAATTAGGCCAAGTTTGCTGCCCAACTAGTTTCCAATTCCTCCGGTAGATGGGGGAAGTATCAGGTACCACTGCCAGAGGAGGGGGGACCTCTCCGACAGAACGGGACTAAAGTATTAGATACCACTGCCAAGTAGAGGGTAGAAACCTTGCTGGCAGAAAGGGACTAGGAACCCCTGCCAGAGGAGGGACGACCTCGCTGACAGAAAGGAACTAACTATTAGATACCACTGCCAGTAAGAGGTTGGAACCTCGCTGGCAGAAAGGGACTGATAGTAAGCACCAGTACCGGTAGGGTATGGAGACAGTAGAAATTAAAGGGGATGCACAATGGACCAGTAACCGGTCTAAGTGCATGGGGAAACCCACCCACTCAATACGGAATACGGAATAGTAAAATAAAATGTCTATGTATAACACAGTTCATCAATAATGCAACAAATTGTTCCTCTTTCTTCCACTTCCACTTTAACACAACATGTTTTGGCTCTAGATGGCCATCTTCAGGTGTCTTAATATGTTCAAACTGCTACACTGCATTAAGATACGCTAAAATCTCACACTGTAGTGCACTTAATATAATAAAATAAAATCCATTAATATTTTCATTACTTTTCTGAAATTCTATTCCACCTCACAAGGGGTGTTGTCCACTTGTTGAGAGCTATGTGTTTATCTCCAGGTGTTTTATTAATATGCCCCTTACTTGTGTGTTGTTCCCTCTAGCAGCGTGTGATGTTGTCTTCCCTCGCACTATGACGATCGGAGGAGTTTATTTGTACTTGCTGTATTGCAAAACAGTAAGAAACTGCATAGGGCCATTCAGAAAAAAAAAAGGCATGGAATGCTTTCATCTGGTGTAGTGCTTCTCCATGACAATAGATGCCTGCTTACAGCTGCTTGCACTCGAGCACTGCTGGCGCATTTCAACTGGGAACTGTTTGACTATTTTTCTTACTGCCCTGAGTGACTACTATCTATTTACCTAACTGGAGGACTGGTTGGGATCACAGTGCTTCAAGGTGTCACACTTCTTAGATATAGGCATACACAAACTTACTCCCTGATATGACTAGTGCCTTAGTTCCAGTGGTTACTATGTTGAGAAGTAGCTTAAGTATGTATGTAGTTTTTGTATATAATAAAGTTTTTCTTCTTGTTCTATTAACAGCCCATTGAAGGTTACTTTCTGAACAGCTCTAGTACATGATGTTCCATTCCATAACATAGTTGGTGTTTGATGTGTTTGACTACAAAGGGGATTATGTTTCCTGTGTTTTATGTGAATACAATTAACTCTGAGTGATATGTACATAAGGGAAATATTGCAAGAAGACTAGTAACCTTTATTCTATGAAGCAGTCCCAGTCACCACTTCTGACCAAGTAGGAAATGTGGCAACTCTCATAGTGTACATAATGGAAAGGCTGTCCCCTTGACACAGTTTCCAAATATTCTTCTTGTATATGCCAGCAGAAATTCTTCATAAAAACAGACCACTAAGTCATATCTTCCATCTACCTTATCTCAATAGAATTATTTAAAAACACAAAGCACATTAATTATGACCAGAAATTGTTTCATGTATTCCATTCTATTTCACAGTTTCTTGAAATGTAAAAAGTGATATGTTATGGACAACCATTTCTGGGCACCTGTTTTCTGGTCAAATATCTTTCGGTTTATATGATAATTGTGTTGGATACTGATTGCAGTCTGAGGTATTCTTTAATACATACTTCTGTTTGTCATTTCAGGACTTCAGACAGTTGTCACTACATGGATATACAATATATTCTTTTTATATTTTCAGTGTTAATGACCTCTTTGAATACTAAAGTTATATGGTAAACACCTGGCAGCTGGCCTGACTTACAAGTTTAGTTTTTAGATCCTGAGTATACCATCTATAATGCAATAATAACCATACATAAAAGACACAAAAATTGATTTAACACACTAAAAGTGCTTGTTCAATACTTTTAAATGCCATTAAACTTATATATTCATTCCTTGTTGCAACAAGTTTCAGCCACATGCGGACCATCATCAGGCAACATTTTTGTTATTGGGCTGTCCACTGCACCATACACTTTGTCTTCTGTGCCCTTAGGCACATCGTTTTTGGTATTAGTTTCTTTCATAGAATACTTCCATTGTATCTTTTATGGTGGCTGTTTCAGTGTTTTTATGTCGTTTTCTTAGATGTTTATGGTTTTTGTGCTGTCTTCCCTTATACTGAAGGGAAGGCATGAAAAAATTCTATTATAACAATAAAAAACTGAAAGCTTTTACAAGAGGTGAAACATGACAGGTTCGCTCAGGGCAGTGGCAGAAGAAATGTTAAAATATAAGTTAGATTTAGCAGGAGTACAGGAGGTCAGATTGGATGGAAGTGGCATCGCACCAGCAGGAGACTGTACATTTTTCTATGGAAAGGGGAATGAAAATCATGAATTAGGTACAGGTTTCATCGTACATAAGAGAATCGTATCAACAGTTAAGAGGGTAGAATTTGTTAGTGATAGGATATCATATATAATACTAAAAGGTCGCTGGTGTGATATCATTGTTATGAATGTTCAC